GAGAAGCGGCAAGAGTATAGTATTCTAGGGTTTTTGCATGTGTCTTCTGATGATCCCGTCCTTGTGTTGAGACTCTCTATATATAGGTTTTATAAACCCTAGTCCTTATTGGGCTGGGCCTGTTTGTTGTCGGTCCAGAGTAGGACGTCATGTCGGTCCTTAGTCATATTTCCTTTTAGAAATATGTTAAGTTGGTTTATGGACGTCATGTCGGTCGCTAATCATATTTCCTTTAGAAATATGCTAAGTGGTTGATGTGCTAAACCGTTGATTGTTAATAAATTGGTGTTGAGACCGTCGGTCGGTGGTTAACACACAAAACAAATTTCGTTTCTGGTTAAAACTGTTTGTCAGTGCTTATTAGTTTTGTCGATTGCAGCGACATGGTCAGGGCCATGACCTGTCGCTTTGTGTCCATTGTTAGGGACTGGCAAAAGCTCCTTGAAGTGAAGAATTAGCAGCGACTGGTTGAGCATGTCGCTAACCTGCTTAACCTCCATCTCATCAACTATGTTCTGATAGTGACGAAGTGATGAATTTATTACACCCTACAACTTGCCCCCTATTCTTCAATTTCTAAATTAGAATTTGGAGAGTAATTTATGCTTGTAGTCATTGGTCAATGTTGAATAACATCGTCAAAAATCACAGCGTGTAGGACTCCATTTCATCCATTTTTAGGTCGATTTACGTAACACAAAATTTAGTGTAAAACAAATATATCCACGCCAATGAAATATATAAAAACAGAAATATTACCTCACTATGCGATATCCGACACACGTGATGTGGCTTCCTCTTTTTTTTTTTAATTCTAATTATATACCAAATATTGCTATTGGGACCCACATGAAGACAAGTTACACCCACACATCACGTGTGTGTCTCTTTCTTGCCTCCTCTCTCTCTTTGAAATTCCTTTGGCGGGACTGGAGAGAAAAATTCAGCAGAGACAGGTATAGGCACTTCATGTTCCTCTGTTTGATGTGCGTATTATGTACGTGCCTCCTCAATCACGTGTCTCCTTTTATGCCTTTATCTTACTTGGTCCCACCATAACAAAGAAGGAGAAATGGCGATGCTAGAGTGTAGAGGGACGCACATTAAGTGCCTCTTTTATTTATTTTGGTTAATGGAGCCCACATAGCTTCATTTTTATCCGCCTGTTTTTTCCTTTCACGCTTGCGAGCTTACATCTTATACTTGGGAGTATCTTCTTTTGTGAGGTTAAGCAACATATCTGAAAGCCCATTAAACCTTAGTCGTTCGGATCCAGTTTGATAAAAAAAATATCTTTTAGGTTAGCTAATTCATTCATCCTCCTCTCTTGACTGTGTTGTTTCTCCTCTACCGAGCGGGGCTTCAGGTATTCATACTGTGAGTCTGTTATTTCTAATTTTTAAATGGAGCTTCAGTGGGCGTGACCAAGCTTTCATTTACACCATTTTTCCATCTTCTAACCTTGCTTAGATCAAGAAGCATTGATGAATTCGTAATTTACTTTGTTTGGAATTTGCAGGTTCGTCGTTTCTCAAAGATTGTGAAGTTCGGTTTTCCCATTGCTCTCGGATCTACGGTACTGCATCACATCGCCTTCTTTTGTTTTCAATTATCATGCCTGCAAACACATATTCTTTTAACAGCCCCGCTTGTCACCGTGCCTCATAGTCTTGTCGTTGTAGATTTTTGCAAGATTGAAGAGTCTTTGCAGGTGGTTTCTGTCGGTCCGTTCGTCACACTCACTGACAATCCTCGTTCTTTGCAGTGCCATTACTTGGTGAGTTCATGCACCTCTTGCTTACTCCTCCTTTTGATTAAAGATTAGATGGCTAGTGGTTCTGGCGTAGTAGGAAGTCCAGTGTTCGTAGAGTCGGATTTAAGTGATCCGGAGAGTGACTATAAAGATGAATTTGAGGGTGAATATTATAGTGGTAATGAAACGGTTCATGACTCGTCCTATTACATTCATGAAGAGTCTCCATTTGATGGTAGATTAGAGCCTCGTCGTTGCTCGTCTGCTTCCGACAGTGTGATGACGATGGTGGAGCACGTCGAACCGCACTTTCCTTATGCTTTCACATGCAGCAAATTCTTATGCCAGGAGTTAAGCCTAGACACAAGTGCCAACACACATCTACACCATTAACCCCGTTTCGAAATTATCCGACGTCGATATTTACAAGAGCATGACGATCATACTATGAGAGCGATGTACAACATTCCAGAATCGGTGGTTTTTAGATTCTATCGGGAACCGAAAGAGCTCATAACTCTGGACCAGATGAGATTTTTGTTTATGAGGCTTACTTTGCTTTGGATATGCGTGAGACGTTGCCTCCCTTAATTGCTAGTGTTGCAAGGTTTTTTGGCATATCCCCTGGTCAGTTCACCCCTTCTGCGTGGAGGGTGTTGACTGCCATTCAGGTTCTAGGCGAGTTCTCATAAGTAGATGTTGGAGTGAACGAGGTTCTCCATGCATATTTCTTTAAAGCTTATCCAAATGACATGAGTAGATGTATGATCCATTCTAGGCATGTGAACTTTCCTCCCCCTTGTTTATGACTTCCACAGGGATGACATTAGACATTTGTCTTATGAAAAGGAGTGGAGAAGCAAATACTTGTTTATGAACATGGATTTTAGTCCTTGTTTCCTGGTCGATTGGTTCTTTAAAGGTAGATGCACGCTTCTTTTTGAATATTTTTCTTATTCTTTGTGCTAACATCATGTGTTCATATCTTTGCAGATTTCAGCTATCCGCGAAGTACCAGGGGAGAGGACGGCGCTCGTGTACTGATCGGACAGTCTAGACTGTTGTGTTCAACGTGTTTCTTAACTAGCTTTTTTGCTTTAGAGAGGACCTCGATTTGGGGTTGGTTGTCCATCTTCCATACTCCTACACCCTCTTATTTTTAGGGAAAAATGTTCACTTTGATGTAACATTGCTTCTTCTTACCATTGCAGGTTACATGTGGTCATCGATCTTTGATGTACTCGATGAAGAGGGCGCTCTTGAGACCTATAGATAGACAATGGGTGATAATGCACTGACGGACAATAAGGAGTTAATGTCCACTGGAGATCCACCTGCTTCCAGAGCAATCTCCAAGTGTCTAGCTGCAGGAGATGCCTCTCGCCATCCTTCCAAACCCATACGGAAGAAGGGTCCAGGGTCGTTTTCTCGGGATGATCTACTGGCTGTCACGGACCACTCAGACACGTTGATGGAGCTCAATCAGAAGTTTTTTCCTCTGGACTCTGACGACTACTCTAAGCTTGGTTACAACACCGTGTTTAATGAATCGTAATCCCATCTCCTCAAGGTTTGGTTCCTCTGCCATTGTGTAATTTTTGTGAGTCCAAGTAGATTTTCACTACGTTATTCTCGTAGCTAATCAAATTGTCGATTCTCTTTATGACTGTTTTCTTAGGTGATGTCGGCTTGCCATTACGCAAGGACAGAGATTGGTACTTCGCAGAAAGAACCAAAATGCCTTTCCTCTCAACTTAGAAAAGTGAAGGCAGAATTTAGCTCAGAGAAAGAACGTCACAAAATAGCTTTAACTGCAAAGGACGAGGAGTACCAATCTTTCAAGACTTACCTTCAGGATCAGATTGCTACAGCAAGAACTACGGAGCAATAGCTGCTACATAAAGTGCAACGTCAAGAGAATAGGGCACGCAGGGCGGCAATTGGAGGGAGCGTCACGACTCGCTGGAAGATGGTGTCCGAGTTTAAAAGGGAAAAGCCAAAGACTGGTGTCCTATCAAGGCATAGATGGTTTATCGCGGGGTGATGACTCAAGAAGCTCAACACGAGGGGAAGGCACCGCTGGCCTTTCCTGAGACGTACACTAACTTTGATGAGTATGACTCTGCCCCGGTGATGATCAGTGATCACGAGATGTTCTTTTTTTAGAGGAGTCCATATAGGCCCTCATTTATTCTTTGTTTTGAACAAGGTTTATGGAACTCATTTGTCTTAGGTTTTTATGCTTTTGCGAATAGATCGTGTAGGTTCATTGCAAAACGTATGTTGCTCTTTGAGCTATGTACATTGATATTATCGTGAATGTCGTTATGTCTCTTTGTTATGCCTTATGGCACGTGCACTACGCATTTGGTTTGTAACCGTTGCTTGTGCGTTATGGCTAATGTACGTTGTCATTAACTTCACAAGGACATTTTTCTGTATGGGATTTTTACCCTGAGTTTGTAGTTGTCTATTAATCTTGTCGACATTATTTTCAAGATTTATTGACGATGATTATTTCGTTTTCACCAGGGTCATGCATGTGGACGAGTAATGACAGTCACCACAATTATGTGTACTGAGACTGTTATTCATGTTTTCAGTAGGCATTGCCTCCTTAAGTTGGGTTAGACCATGGTCATCATGTGCAACGGCTTTGCCATTGTCTTGCGTTGTAGTGATAGTTGTCACTGCTATGTATGTGGAGGTCATGCCTCTAAATAATATTGTTTTGGTTATGGCAGGTGTCGCTGCTATTTATGTGGAGGTCACGCCTCTAATTGGTTTTTTTTTTTTTTAGATTCGCAACTATGCCTTAAGAAAAAGGCTGCTACGTACCCAAAAAGGGATAAAGTCGCTCGTAGTTCATACATTGTTGATAGATAAAATACACTTAGAAATAGTATGTCTTCAGGTGTAGAGCGTTCCAGCTGT